TTGACACTTGTGCGTCAATATCCAGGTTCTTGACAGTTTTGTGTGTTAATAACCGCTGACAGGTTTTGTGAAGTAAAACTGAGTAAATTGGATTAAACTCACGACTCAGGAAGTGCTTCCAATGAGCCAATAACCACTAATCAGTGAGATAGGCGCTATTATAAGCACACCTGGGGTTTGAAACAACCTTTTCGTTTCACGTCTCTGCGGGACACGGTGGGAAAAAAGCAGCAGACATCCAATTCTAAAGGCAGAAATTAAAAAGCCTGACATCCTGAATCAAACCGTATGGAGCAATTACAGTATATGTGACGCTGGTGCTCACACTGTGGGACGCTGATTGTAGCTGAGTGCTGTAATTATTTCTGCTGCGTGGGAACAGTCAAAGGTAAAATTCACCTTTGGATATCTTTAGACATCGTCACGTCTTTGTTCAGTCCACGAGCTCGCAGCTGAGTTATCCAGTTAATGAGTTCATGAATTCAGCCTCTAACCTCCTTCTGTGTTGCCGCTGCAATGCATTCTGGTCCACCGTCTCCTCCTCTGGGTGAAATCTGTTCCACAAACTGTGGCTCCGGAGAGAAGCTCGTGCTTTGATCTAGAAGCAGTGGAACTAAGATCTGGAGTTCAGCTCTTTAGTAAACACATCAAATACAGAAAGAGTTGCTCAGACTGGAGAACTGTTCCTCAACCTGCAGCTTTATTGGCCTCAATGAGTCCGGAATCAACACAAAAATCTAGCATTGGCAGCATATTAAATCACCTGAACGCGTTTATTTGGTACTGACATGGATCAGAGCAGCTGCACGTATTCATATGACTTCTGAAAACAGACGCTCATCACCAGGAGAGCAACTGGTCGGTGAAAACAAGTCAGCTGCTGTTTAGATGATCTGCCATGATGACTTCTTTGACACCTTGTCAGTCAAGTTTATGAGTAAGACTGAGCTCAAAGTTGTAAAGACGAGGGGCGAGCTTGTTTCTCCAGCAGTCAAATCCTTACTGTGTGATTGTTTCCTGGCTTTGGTTGTAGCTTCAAATTCTGTGAAATAGGAGGGAGCTTGGAAAAGGACACAAATCCAGTCGGCAGAGGCTGGTATAGAAAAAAACAATCATAAAAAAGCTGGTGCAACAAAAGAAGATGCAGCTCTGATGCGTCAGAAACATCCTGAAAGGGTGACAGAAGCATCAAACAGAAGAAACAAATAAAAGGTTAAAAAACTAAAGGTGATGAACAGGAGGCCAAACAAGACGGAAATCAGTAGTTGCGACGTATTTTAAATGGTTACGATATATTTCATAGTGTTAAGAAGTATTTTAAATCGCTAAAACGTCTTTTATAATGTTAAGATGTGTTTTTACCAATCTCCAGTTGAAACCAGAAGTTTACATCCACTGTATAAAATGAAACCTTCTTTTTTTCTCTATCTGACATTAAATCAGACTAAACGTTTCCTGTTTCAGCTCAGTCAGGATCACCAACATTATTTCTGTTTGCTAATGAGAGAGAGAATTTTTTATGACTTTCTTCAAGTCAGAAGTTCACATCCACTAAGATACCTTCAAACTATTTGGGAAAGCCCAGGTGATGATGTCATGGCTTTGGAAGCTTCTGATTGGTTAACTGACAACATGTGAGTTAACTGGAGGCACACCTGTGGATGTATTTTAAGGCTCACCTCAAACACACTGCTGCCTTTTGTGAAAACATGGAAAATCTAAAGAAACCAGCCAAGATATCAGGAGGAGAACTGTGGACCTCCACCAGTTTGGTCCATCCTTGGGTACAACTTCCAGATGCCTGAAGGAACGGGCCAGAACTCATCAAACTGATGTGAGAAGCTTGTGGTAGGAAACCAAAACGTTTGAGCCAAGTCATACAGTTTAAAGGCAACGCTACCAAATAGTCAGGAGACTTCTGACTTTGAAGAAAGTCATAAATAATTATCTCTCTCATTATTCTGATATTTAGCAGACAGTAATAATGTTGGTGATCCTGACTGACCTGAAACAGGACGAGTTTTGTCTGATTTAATGTCAGATGGTGAGGAAAAAGAAGGTTTTATGTCTTTTTATACAGTTGATGTTGCAGGTTGTTGAAATGACAACAGACACGACACAAATCCACGAGTTATGCCACAAAAATATTCAAACTAAAAATAATAATTTGTATCAACACGTTAAATTCAAGCAGAGCGATGTATCACAACACAAACAACGAAATAAAAGATTATTTCATGTATTAACTTTGGAAAATACGCACAAAAACGGCGGTCGGTTCACTTCCATCGCTGTAACCTGGAGACCACAGACTACATCTGGGACCGATGACTCTGAGGGTGGATGTTCTGGTCATCTCAAACATGTCTTTCCCTGTTGCCGTCCTGCAGGTGAAGTACAAGAAGGACTTCGAGGAGAGTAAAGGTCGAGGGTTCAGCATCGTGTCCGACACTCCGGAGATGCAGAGACTCAGAAGGACTCAGGAGCAGATCAGCAACGTACGTACGCCAAGACGTCGGCGGCCATGTTGTTTGTATACGAGAGTGTGTTTGTGCTGTGTGACGCCTGGAAGTGAATCGTATGTGAGGGTGCACTTTGGTCAGTGAGCGCGCAAACAAACGCACAAACACAACACAACGTCTGCATCGTGGAGACCTCCAAGCGTCGACGACGGCGGCGGACGGAAGAGGAGCTTCTTCTACAACCATGACTGTAAGTGAGCAAGAGCTTTTATTTACTGAATGCACAGCAGATAACATAATTACAAAGGATCCTCGTTTTAGAAAGGCAACAGGGAGAAGAAGTATTTGAAATAACTCGGCAATGACAACGTGTCTCTAGACAAGTACATGATCAAAAAGACGGAAGTCAAGATCCCCGTGATATAAAGTCAGAGTGAACGTCACTGCATGAGCGATTTCAGCACGTTTGGGATGAACTGCCAGCCAATTAGAAGGCAGGTTTTACAACCAACATATCACTGACTTCACTGTTTGTGGTTTTGTGTGTCTGTGTTTGGGAGTGTGTGAATGCGTATAGACGCTGTGCGGGTGTCCTGACGGCCCAGCGACCCTCAGAAGACGATGCCAAGGTAATGTCTTCGTCCTTCTTTTTGTATCTAACCTGCATTGTTCAAACAGTTTTTGTTGGTTTGCAGTTGAATTTGAGCCTTTACAGAGACAACGACAGCCCTGTCTCATGGAAAGTAGCTTCGGATTCAACTGAAATGCAACAGCGAAGTATTTCCCGATGCGTTTTTCTCGGTTTGGTCTTCGCCCTGTTCGTCTACCTTCTGCTCTCCGGCTCTCGTCGTCTCTTCTGTTTACCTGACCGAGTAATCGCATCATTCCGCCGTGTTGATACGCCACAAACTCTCTCTGCTCATTTGCTCCGCTTTAATTAAGACGCACACTTCGCCTCCCTCTCAAATGGTGTGACATTCAGCGGCCCACACACTTTTTATTTTATTACTCACCTCTTTTCACGGTTGACCTGCCGGTGCGAGGAAGAGGAGGGCAGTGGGAGGACGATGTGAGGAGGAGGAGGACTCAGAGAGACAATAGCGGAGGGATTCCTGTTTGATCTGAGCTGAATAATGTGTTGATGTTTCTGCTGTTGTGTTGTGCAGCTGAACGGTTCTCTACCTGTTGCTTCTAATGCTTTTTGCAGCTGTGCTCTGCTGTCTGGCCTTGAGTTGGTTCTTGGTTGCAGCTTCTGTTCTTTGCTGTGGGAATCAACACGAGTTCTGATGCTCGTCGTCTATCAGAGGATCCTGCAAAGTGGAATCAGTTCAGACTGCTTGTAAAACAAACTCCTTGTGCTCTTATTGCTAACAATCAGCGGTTGAGTTGGACGATGGTGCCAGAACTAATAACATTCACAATAACCCTTTTTCCACCGAGCTGGTTCCAGTGCTGGTTCGGAGCCAGAACCTGACTCAGCACCGGTTCTCAACACTGGTGCGACGGGTACGTCAGGGGGCGGAGTTATCGTGACCACCGGGACACACAAACTGTGATTTGAGTCGTTTTTCTCCAGGACGTCTCCGGTCCGATCACAGATGACTGGAATGAGTCCCGGGACGCACAGAGGTTCTGCAAACTGTTGCACACTGACAGCCGGTACAACTGTGTCCCACCAGCAGCACCACAGTGGTGGAAAACAGCACTTTTATAACTTCGCTATTTACGCTTAGACATGCGGCCTTCTTATGAAAAACGAAGTACACGCGCTTGTTTGTGTTGTTCTGAACAGATCACAGGCGGAGCTAAAGGACGGATGTGGCCTCGGTGGACTTGTGGTGGTGGAGGGAGGCGGGACCTGTGATTAAACCGGATAGTTCACCAGAAAATCCTTAATGTGCGGTCTGAACTTTCTGCTAAACTTTCAAAATTTTCGGCAACATTTTCAGTGTGTTGTTGTTTGAAGTGAAAGTGGGATTTGAATACAGAGCAGAAGAGGAGGAGAAATCAGGGAGTCTATATCGGGTTAGTCAGACCTGTGATTATAACGGCCATCTAATGGGCTCACAGCATCAAAACGGACGTCAGAAGAGTGCGGCAGTCCTGGTGTAACGTCTAGATTTGGATTCACCTGCAGTGAAGTGCAGCGTTTCAGTAAAAGCCTGATGCCTACGAAGAGAAGCGTGTTCCTCTGCCGAGCTGTGGCTGGCAGTGAAGCTGGTTCACATCAGGACGAGATCACAGGGATTTCTCCCAGGAGAAGCTTTGTGTTGCAGAATTCATTAACAAGATCTGAGGGGAGAGAAAGCGAGAGCTCTCGGTCAGCCAGGCGGCTTTCTTTCTTTCTTTCTTTCTTTTTTTTTTTACCACCTATAAGAACTGTGTCTCCCACTTAAGACAGATTTCTACCAAAGCAGCTTTTCCCCTGAGAGTCTTGTTTGCTGTGATTGTGGGTTGAGACAGTGACGGCTGCAGGCTGGAGGTGCAGCCAGGACTCGACTGGCAGGACTGTCAACCCGCCGACGATGACCCGGTTGCTTATTTGTGAGCGCTGGTCTCATCCGGTGTGTTGGTGCTCAGCAAAGGCACGCGAAAAGCTAAATATTGTGGGAGAGTTTCTGCACTTGGCTGAAAAAAAAAAATGCCCTCAGGCTAATGTTAAGAAAGCACGCCGGCCTACAACACGAGCGAGCGTCAGCAGTGCATCTGCTCGCCAACCTTGTCCAGTCATGTGACCGTCGTCATGGTAACTGATGCATCTGTATGTTTATAAATGTGAAACTTGCTGTGGGAGGAAAATGTGTTGCTGCAAATGGACAAAATGAATGCAGCCAGCTTGTTGTGGGGGTTGTTGGTCCTGTTTTGTTTTCTTTTCATACATTTACAGTCGTCCTCAAATGTATTCAAACACTTCCATTAAAGAAAAGGCAAAACTCACAACAGTCACTCAAATAACTAGAAACTGGAAAAAGTAATAATAAATAAAAATGTGTTAAATTATAATTTGGTGATATAAGACGCTGCTTTTGAATTGTGGTTGAAAAGAATAATTTAAAAACACAAAAGTGTCCCGGACCAATGAGAGGCCTTTGCTGATGAGCAGCGGGTCAGAATACCTGTGAACAGGTGCAGAAGTCTGACTGAGAGTTACAGAAACACCTGATGGCAGTGATTGGCTCAAAGGGTTGTTCAAGTAAATATTAGTTTATGGGTCACATCATGCTTGTTTGCTTGTTTTTTTGTTTTTTTTAAATGTTTCAGTTGAGCCACAATTCAAAGCAACGTCATGACGTTCGTTACAGTTTTATTGATTATTACTTTTGTCAATTTCAACTTATTCCAGTGACAGCTGAGTTTTCCCTTCTTTAATAAGAGGGTGTGAATCCATCTGAGGACGACTGTATAAGATCCGATAACTCAAAATAATTCAGCGCCCCCTACAGAACTTCGTCAAGATGCCTCTTGGAGCCGTGCTCTTAGTCCTCCACAAAGGCAGATATTCATCATTTTGGTGCATTTTTTTATTTTTTTTTCACTTGCAGCCATTACACTTCACCAAACTCCTTCTGGGGAATTAATCCCAGCAGCTTTAGATTTGGTCATTTCAAGACCATCACGGTGCCAAGTGCTCGAAAATGTGACTTTGCATAACACTGATTTCGTTTCGGGGCTGCAAGATGGATCAGTGGGTAGCACCGTTGCCTCGTAGTGAGAAGGTCGCCGGTTGGCGTCCCGGTGAGGACACCCAGGATCTTTCTGCGTGGAGTCTCCATGTTTTCCCCGTGCAGCGTGGGTTCTCTCCGGGTTCTCCGGCTTCCTCCCACAGTCCAGAAACAGGTTAACTGGTGATTCTAAATTGTCTGTAGGTGTGAATGTGAGTGTGCTTGGTTGTCTGTCTCTAAGTGTAGCCCTGTGATAGACTGGTTACCTGTCCAGGTGAACCTGCCTTCACCCTGAGTCAGCTGGGATAGGCTCCGCCCCCCATGACCCTAGTGAGGATTAAGGTGTAAAGATGATGGATGGATGATTTTGTTTCGACATGAAGACGTAGTGACACCGGTTCACCAGTTGTTGCCAACATGATGGCTCATGAGGGGTCTTTGGTTCTGTTGGGTTTTTCTACTTCTGTTTTCTATCATAATCATTTACTTATTTACACTTTCTCGTTGTTTATCTGGCTTCAGCGCATGTGTTAGCGTGATAGCGTCTGAATGCTACATTATGCAGATGATGCAGGGTTCGTGGTTACAAGCGACGTCTCTGTTTTTGGGATTTGTTCGCGGCAGATGGTCTTTTGGCTCAGTCAGATCTGCTCTTTATCAGGTCAATGTCCTGTTTACCACAACGGCCATCTGACGCTCAGACCCGGCTGCCAGGATACCTGCTGCCTTCCACTCTCAGCAGCCATTCATGTTCACACTGACGGGCCGTTTCAGTGAAATGGTACAAACCCTAAACGCTGCCCTTTAGCCTCACCTTGTCGGTCGAATTCCCTCTTATAAACCGTGTTCAAAAAACATTAGGTTATTAGGAAGGAATCAAAATGTCTTTATAAAAAAAATTTCTAACAGTTTCTGGTAGATTTTGAAGAGTCTGCTGAAAGTAAAAAAAGCAACAACAGTGAAATCTTGAGTTCCAGAAAACATATGTTAAAGAACTGGCAAAATATAAATAGATTCATGAATAAATTCAGCAGCATCTTCACAAGGTCTTTAGCTTTTGTTCTGGGGTTGATAGTTTCAGGCGACATCAAAACGAATACATTTTCATTTCAAAACACATAAACTCTGCTATGGTCAGCATATTAGAACCATAAAACAAAGTCCCGTAAACGCTGCTGATCCCGTTTTAGTTTGAAAACTCCACTTTGCTCCGCACGGGCACAAATGGAGACGACACCCAGGTCTGCTCTCTGATTGGTCCTTGCTGTCACCGTGGTGATTTGTGATTCGTCACACTCCTGTCATGTGACCATTTTCAGGAAGAAAACAAAGACGTCAGCTTTGACCTTGCTTCAACAGCGTTAATAAATACTTTCTCATTAGTGGATTAAAATGACTTCTTGTGTGTAAATGAGGTCGACTGTAATAAAAACGAAGAGAACCGGAGCCGGCGCCGTCACTCTCCGCTCTGCAGAGCTTCTTCACCAACTGTCTGAATTCAGGCTCAGAGAAACAGTTCTGAAGAGCCTCACGTTTCCAACATAGATTCAGATAAATAATAATGTAGAGGATGTGCTGGACGTGTCGTTATGCAACATATCAGCTTTAACCCCGTAAAGCTTGAACCATGAAATAATTGCCAGAAAACTGTTTTGTTTTCTTGAAACATCACAATTTTGAGCTTAAATTTGTTCATTTTTCCTGATGGAACTCAAATCTCACACATGAATAGTTAGATTTTTTTCTGTTTTGACAGTTTCTTGCTCTGATAAATGATGCAATTTTGGTGATTTTTAAAAATAATAGCGTGCCTTTAAAATCTGATTGGGTTCCAGATGGTTGATATGTTAATGTTGTGTTCTTGGTTTGTTTTTGTTGCCCCCAAGTGGCCGAATCGGTTGGTGCAGGTGAGGTTTTCAAGTGACATCACTGTCTCTGAACTCAACCTTCAACCAGTCAAGCGACACACACTCAAACACACACAGACAACCGTGTTATGGACACACTGTACTGGTGGAGACGAAGGGCACGGCGGCGATAAGGTCTCGAGTAGAGGGCTAAATGTAGAAGTTCAAAGTGATAAGAGCAGCCCGATGAACAGACGTTCAGCCATCGCAGCAAAGACCAGACGAGGCGGTTCAGTCGTTCACAGCTTTACATTCTGAGCTTAAAGCCTTTGAGAACATCAAAGAACCTGTCCAAGGTGAAGAAACCTAGAAGGAGCCTGAATCAGAGAATAAGTAGCTGCGATAATCAGAAGCAGCGCGACGTTACGTACGGGGAAGAGTTTTAAAGCTGAAAGGCAAACCGGGACATGGAGGGAGAACCACAGATCGAAGGTGAGTGTAGAAGGTGTTTGGAGAAAAGCTGAAAAAACTACTAACAGCATCGAAGAAACATTTGGAGGAATGGCCATGACCTTGAAGGGCCTGGAAAACCTTGAGAGTGATGAAGCTGACAAGGTGACCTTGATGCGTGGTGACCTTTTCGGAAGCTGTTAGCAGCCTAATTGAAGGCAAGATGGAGGATTCTGACGGAATTTGAGCAGGAAAGTTGCTGTAACCTTGAACTGACTATACTATATATATATAGTATGAACTCGTCCTGTTTCAGGTCAGTTAGGATCACCAACATTATTTGTATTTGCTAAACGCCAGAATAATGAGAGAGATATTTTTTTTATTACTTTCTTTAAAGTCAGAAGTTACCTCAGTATTTGGTAGCGTTGCCTTTAAACTCTATGACTTGGGTCAAACCTTCTGGGTTTCCTTCCACAAGCTTCTCACAACAGTCTGATGGGTTCTGGCCCATTCCTCCTGACAGAACTGGTGGAACTGGGTCAGGTTTGGTGGTCTCCTTGCTCCACTGATGTTCTCCAGGACTGAGATCATGACTTTGTGATGGCCACTCCACAACACTGACTCTGTTGTCCTGAAGCCTCTCTGTAGCTAATCTGGAGCTATGCTGAGGGTCATTGTCCATCTGAAGACCCATTAGTTTCCAAGCTTTAGCTTCCTGCTGATGTCTGGAGATGTTGCTTCAATATCTCCACATCATGTTCTTTCCTCATGATGCCATCTATTGTGTGAAGGTCACCAGTCCCTCCACAGCATGATGCTGCCACCCCCGTGCTCCACAGCTGGGATGGTGTTCTCAGGCTTCAAGCTTCCTCCTTTTTCCTCCAGATGTAATGATGGTCATTAAGGCCAAACAGTTCAGGTTTAGTTCCATCAGAAAACATGTATGTCTCGAGGTTGTTTACTTGCAAATATCGATGCAGCTGCTGCTGCTTGGGCTCGATCTGCCACCAGCCTTGATCGTGAAACAGTCTGGTGATACCCAGCTCTAATTCCTAAAGCCTGAGTTATGCTTCCTTGCAAATGCAGAGCTGGAGAGCTTTTCTTGTTATCCTTCTACTTTCTAGTCTGCTTGGAGGACTCTGTTTCATAAATGTGCAGTAGGGTGTCATCGACGTGTTCGGCGAGTGTTGTCAACACAAACTTTGGTTCTATGGATTTTAAACTTTAGTAGATGTTAAAGTTTATGTAACAGGACCCTTCGCAGATGAAAAAAGTGTAACCTGACAAATTATCTAACCCTGAAAATACAGACCAGTGTAATTGTCATAGGAGAGATGCTAGTCCTTGACTGTATGTAAAGATAATGTGATAACTTATACTGTTGTGTATCATACTTTTGAAATTTTTAAGTGAGTTATAAAACAAATAGAAGGGATGATCATTTTCAATCGCTTTCTTAAACGATGATTGGCAGCATTATCAGTCAGTACTGGAGTAACATGAATTAAATGCAGCAGACATCATACAGTAGAGCTCTATATAGTGACAAACACAACATATACGTCGCTTTTATGATTTAGCTACTTAGCTGTAGATATGCTGTCTTTGTATCCTGCAGTTTATCTTAAAAAAAGAAAAACCCTGACCGTCGGCGTTAACGTTCACAGAAGACTGTGTCATGGTGCCCATTTGCTACCGAAGCCTTCATTTCTGCAATTTATCAAAACTGGAAAAATCTGTGTAAACTGTTTATTTGTCGCTGAGCCTGTCATTGTTGTTCTTCTCTGCTCAGTGGTTTTTGCTGAGATGAGCTAAACATGAAATGTCCTTTTTTTTTTTTTTACCTCAGAGGTGACCGGCGTGGAGGAAGAGGAGGCCTCAGCTGCTCCAGTGTTGGATGAAGAAAAAGTTGTGATGGCAGGAGAAAATAAAGAAGAAACTTTGGAGGAGACGATCGTGACCACGACTGTCTACGCGACTACGAGAAGGACGGACGTGGAGGAGAAGGAGGAAGCTGAAAGCGACAAAGCCACAGAGGAGGACGAGGAGATAAGAACGGAGAAGGAAGATGATGACGAGGAGATAAGAACGGAGGAAGGAGATGAAGAGAGTGACGGAGACGAGGAGACGAAAGCAAAGAGGCTGTTGGAGGCCTGGGAGTCGGAGGTGAGATGCAGCTTTATGGGACGCAAGTTAAACATTCAGATACCAGGAGTCACATAACACGCTGAACAAAAGAAAAATCATGAAGTCAGATCTTAATTAAATACGTTGACTTGTTGATGTGAAGAGCCGGGTAATTAATTTGCCATCTTCTGGCTCAAACTCGATGATTGTGCTTTATTCATACTTTTTGGAAATTCATCAAAAGATCCTCGTCTCGGCTCTTTTAAAACCATTTTAAAGTCTGTTTTTCTACCGTCTTCTATTGTTGAATGTCCTCAGCGATGAGTCAGATCTTTTCAGCTGAATCTTCTCCTGACTGAAAAGGTTTTTCTTTCTGTCTTAAAGAGTCCATATTCTGCTCACGTACACGGTAGTAAGTCTATTTTGGGGTCATTTAGAATGTATTTACATGCATTAATGTTTAAAAACACTTTATTTTCCTTGGAGTGTACATTGCTGCAGCTCCTCGTCTCCTGTCCTGTCTCAGTTTTAGCTCTTATCGCCTCCCAAAAAGCCCAGTGTGCTCTGATTGGTCGCCTCTAAGCGAGACAACTCCAGATCTCTGATTATAGTAGAGCGGATGCTGCTGCAGCATCTTCGCGTGTTAGCATGCAAACATTAGCTCGTCCAGCTCAGGCTGAGGGTAACGTTAGTTGTTTTGCAGCTATTTGCTAACAAAAAGAAGTGATTGAAGAGAGTAAAATGACCTGAGTTCAATTTATCCTGATGAAAGAGAGACTAAAACATCAACTTGCTAAAAGGGCTGCACGCCTATAGCCAAGAATGGTAATCACAAATATTTTCATCACGGTTATTTCTCTGTTGTTAATTGATGTCAGGCTCAAAATGTAATAGTCAGTACAAACCGATCTCAAAAATTGTTTTCTAATCAGCATAAGCCTAAGCCTGATCCTGTGTTTACATCCGCTGTCACGCAGTTGTTGATATTTTTAATGATTTTCTGAATCATGCAGCATTATCAGCCGATAATTAATTAATTTACAACACAGATGGAGCACAGTGGTTATCAGTCCTGTGGAGATACTTCAGTGGACACACGTTCATCCCAGCTTCTGATAAATATATTAGTTCTGCTCGGAGGTCATTAAGCGTCACGCAGGTCTTTGTCGTGGCGACCCGTCTTGAGCCAAACCCCCTCAGTGCTCTTGTTTGCTAACACGAAACTCCCTGTAGTCCAAGTGGTTGCCTCCTTCAACACGACAGTATCACTACGGAATGAAACAGTAAGAGGCTCCACCTGCTGGTGGGACCAGGCACTACAGCTGATCTACAACACTTCAGGTGTGTATTATCCAGGAAAACGGTATTCGATCCGATCAGCAAAAGCTAAATATTACCAGACTCAGACTGAAGGCATAAGAGCCTGGTCGGGACATCCCTACCAGCGGCTGTTGTTGTTGTTTTGGCGCACTGGGGGTTACGTTGCTTTTGAATCCTGCATGGCAATGAAAACAAAAAGACTGAAACTAGGAGGCCAAATCCCGTCTGAACCGACATCCTGCAGTAGAAAGCCGCCTAATGACTCCCTTCGCTGTGGATTTGGGGATTTACAGGTCTGCAGATCTTTTACATGCACAGTCATCGATATAACACTGAATGAAGGGGACGAAAACAAAAAGCAGGACATGGGCTCTTTACCATCAGTCCAACTGTGACAAATGTACATTTAGATCATTTCAGCAGCGGATTTTCATGTGACGTAAGAAATGGCTTCTTTAAAACCAGGAAAGGCCAGCAGGGGATCCCACAGGAGGCCAGTGAAGTATTGGTTACTTTATTGTTAACTGTGTTCTGCTAAATGTCTTTGAGGATTTTGCCGTTTTTTTGAAGAAGGCTGCTGAAAGGCGCCTTTCTATTGACCTTGGCATGGGGCATCGCCTGGCACTGCAGGTTTTTGTAAGGGCTTAGAGAGGATTAGTGAAACTACAAATGAAAATGTGCCATTATTAGCCTTTGATAGTGGGATTTTTAAGGACTGAATCCGGCCTGTTAAGAGAGGCGAGGGATTAGCAGTGCATGAATTAGGGAAGTTCCCCCGGTTGACTCACAGCGTTCTCTGGCTCAGTGTTGTCAGTAACGTCTGATGGATGATTCAGCTTCCCGATGCGGCCTTTTAATTTCCGTTATTAGCTTGAGGACCTACAGAAACATGCAGGTAGACGTTCTCTTGTGGTTAAATGGTCATCACCCAGGCCACATTTAAAGTCTTTATGTCAAAAGGGAAAACAGGCTCCTCCTAAGTCGACCCGAACATTCGAATATCCCAATATTCAGTCGTTGTGGTGCTATCCAGATATCAATTTTGAGATCTGTTTAATTGGGCCCGAATATCCGGAGCCCAGAAATTGCTATTTGGACCAGCCCTCCTAAGTGATGTCAATAAAATGTAAAATAAATGACTGCATAAGTGTTCACCCCTTTAAAGTGTAATTCAACTCAGGTGCAGCCAGTTGGAGCTAAAAGCCCCACAGTTGGTGAAATAAAGATCATCTGAGGTCAGTGAATGTGTCTCAGTGATTGTAGTATGAAGACTGTTAGATCTGGAAGGTCCAGTCACTGGTGGATCAGTACTCCTGGATAGAACTACACCATGAAGACTGAAGAACCCTCCAAGAACTCTGGGAAAAGATTGTTGAGAAGCATCAGTCAGAGGACGATACAAGAATATTTCCAAGTCACCGAATATCTCTTTACATCTAATTAAATCTGTCATTCAGAAACGGGAGGAATATGGCACATCATATTAAATCTGGATTAGAGTTCACCTGGAAGAAGGTTCTCTGGTCTGAGGAGACCAAAATTGTCTGTTGTGTTCTCAGACTAGACATTACACTACACATCTTCACAAACACACCGTCCCCCTTGAAGCACGGTGGTGGCAGCATCATGATGTGGAGGGACTGGTGATTCCGATCTACGT